CGACCAGGTAAAGGTTAAGTCAAGCGGAGTGACCGTTGTCGACTGAGCAAGCGGTCAGACGAAGTGGTCAGAAAGCGTCTGACCGACTAGCTCGCTGGCTTGCTGGCTGGCCGGCCCGCTGAAGAACGGCGATTTGACTGACGGCGACGTCAATGGAAGCTCGGATAGCCGACAGTCCAGTCATTAGAAAACAACGCTAGCTTAGCAAACAGCGAGAGCCAACTTGGCACTAAGCGGGATTCGGTCTTGCGGTGACTGCTCAGAAGGAAAAGGAGAAGAAGAAACAGACCGACGGACGAATAGCCAGAATCCGACGCGGCTTCCGGCCTTTGTTGCGTATCATCGCCGTAGCTTTTGTCTCGAAAGACAAATGCCCTATTGCCTCTCTTCCTCTTGACTCGCTCCTTCCCACATGCATGCGAAAGAACGAATACACAAACAACGAACCGTATGTTTGTATAATATAGACAGAAGCGGAAACCCAATTACAAGTTGGTTCTGTCCTCCTGGTCGTTCTATCGGTGAGCGGCTATCCACTGTAATTGAACGACTTGTAGTCCCGTACTGCTTCCCCTGATGAGAGGATAATCCGCGGCGATGATATGGTTAGAACTGTCCATTGTTTTCGGAAGAGAGCAGAAGAATACACGTGAAGGTGTATGAACTTCCTTTCGACCCGCGGATTACTTTCTAAGAAACCTTCCCTGGCTCCTGGCTCAGAAAGTCATCGCGTTCCAGATGCGATGAGTTCGTTCTGGGAACAATAACTCAAAAGCGCTCGATAAGTCTCCGGTGAGCCTCAGGTCAGTCGTCTGCCCAGAGTTCGGAGCGAGACTCGAACGATTAAGTCAGGCCTATCCGCAAAAACCTTCGCCCCGAGCCCCTCGAAAAACAAATCGAAGTTCATAGGTGATACTCGCTCGGAACTCAACGCGTACTGCGTTGAGTTGAGATGCGGACGCTGAACCCCCCTGAACGGTACCGGAAGAATGCGTCTTGGAAATGGAACGTCAAATCGGCTTTCCTCGTCGTTTGTCGGATTCGAAGATAATTCTGAAAAAAGTTCTACCATTCTACAAATGGAAAGATCGTCATGACATAAACAATATTCCCCGCAACACTTATCACGAAAGCTCGAGCATTGGCGATCGGAGTTCTGTTCCACGAATGCCGGAACTTTTTTGATACTGCGAGGAGACTGCCGGTAAGGCGCAGAACATTTTTCTCTGCCACTGAAACCACCAAAACGAAGACGTTTCCCGACAGCGAGCTACAGGAAACGGGAAGATATGAAGCGAGCGAAGTTGTTTCCATGCTCGGAACGAGAAAGGCGTTGCAGAATATAATCATCACACATTAGCCAGTTCGTTCGAGCATCGAAACCCGCGCCACTCGAAAACGTTGTACGGAACAGTTTTAATTCTGGACGAAATTCCAACGACGGCGGCAATGTCGAAAGCAACGACCACGTGACCTTCCGATTGGCGACCGGACCCGGGTCAATTTGATTTGGCAATTCGTTATTCGACCGAAGTCTACTATGAAACTAATGAGCGACAATCCTCGTGGAGGCGCGAAAAAAAAACGAATCACCGCGGACGCTGCGCGCTCTGAAGCTTCCAAACGAAGTGTCGTATCTTGAACCATGCCGGTCGACACCGCGGAGATGAGTCCGGCAAAAAACGGTCAGCCGTGAAAAAGTCGGGACACAATATGATAGAAGAAGATAGACTGCGGACCGATACGATTAAAAGTCCGCCAAGTATAGCGCCGCTGCGGGGAATCACGTTCGTTTCCTAGAATCTGTGATTTCGATCAGAATAATTCCGCTGAATCGAATATAAGGGTAGTTGTTGGTCGAGCATGTGGTCAGACGGAGCAAGAATTGGATGCTTGAAAGTGTGTCTGACGGTGGGACGGTGAGGTCATCTACGGAAAAAACTACCCATCCGGAAAAATGGACAAAGTATTCTCGACGGACCGTCTTCGTTCATTGGAATGCCCGATGTCTTCATTGTGCGCTTAGGGAAGGAGAATACTCTACGACAGACCGCTAGAATTGACATTTCAAGTGAGCGAAACCGGAGCGGACGTTTCGTATCGACGCTATCGCTATGACCGAACGAAGGACGATCCAGTAGGTGCTCCCAAGCTGAGTGTCGCACAGTTGGACCCAAAAAACGGGGCAGAAAATAGTCGGCAGGCCATCTGCATGAGTTCTCTGTCCCAAAACGCCGGACGGCGGATGACCGTCCAGCGGCATCGCTATCACGCGAGACTGAAGCTCGGGCCTAATTTCCTCTTACGGAGGTATTGATCCGCCCGAACATACGCAGGCGAGCGCCGAAACGGCTTCATGTCGAGCCGTACCGGAGGGTCTAGGAGAGTTGCAAACTTCGGAAGAGCGAAGCCACATCTGGACCGCGATTCCGAGCGAGCTCTCGAAATGATGACTCCTTCAGCTGCTGTAGGTCGTGACTCATATCAGTTCTAAGTGAGTCCGCCGAATTTCTCAAAAGTACAATAAAGCCGAGGTCAGACTTCCGATTTCACGGTTAGCGGCTCCCGTGCTGGAGAAGGCGATCGCGCGCCCGCCCGTTAAAGCGCTCGTTGGCCGGCCCGCTTGTCGACCAGGTGATCGCGCGGCCAGCGAAGCGGGCGGCTCATTTAGAAGTTTACGGACGTAAACAAGTTGTCACAAGTCCGACACAAGAAGGTTGTTATAACACAGCTCAGTCTGGCTGTGAACAACGGTCGGCGCCTTCGACGAACGTCATTCAAGCGAACGAGGTTCATTGCAACCTCAGTCAGGCTAGCGAACAGTATCAAGCCTGCTGATCTCTCGCCAGACCGATCAGACCGGAGTCAAGCGATCCGTCGTCGGTGCGGACCAGCGATATCGATAGCATCCGATTTTGGCGTCTCGACTGGGGTCCTTGATGACTATATCTTCGAGTATCTAATTCCGCTCTCAGATCGCAGGGGCTGGTTTCCAAACTACGACTCACAGCTCACGGGCCGGGGCACTGCGGCTTTGCGACATGTGGTGCTGCATGCTCTCAGATTTAGCGATTCTGATGGGAGCTCGCGAGTTGTTTCTATCAAGGGTATCGGTAATGGAGGGGATTCGTTCACAAGACCGGTCTACTTTACAACGAGGTGCGATCCTCCTCATGAAACGATTTCGTACATTTTCCAAGAGCGTGACATCTTGGCCTATAATGGTCTCCATATCTCGCTGCAGTACATGATTTTGGGAATGACTAGTGCGTGGTACAGCTTTTCGTAGAAGGACGAGTCTCGATTTGAGAACGCTCGGACGATGAGGTTCGCATGAGGTTGCCACAGGTCGTGGCGGTGATCATGGAGGAGTGCTTGACGTCAAGCTCATCCCGTTTGATCGGGAATCTGATCCTCAACCCGGGCGTTCAGGAGCTTGACTCGGTCGCAATGTTCCGGTGCAGACAGAACATGAAAGGATCTTCGCTTTCCGTGCCACGATATATTTCCCTATGAGTATCAAGCACAGCACTCGCTCTCGCGGTCTATGGATAAATTAAGCTCGGTGAATGAATCAGAAGAAAATCTCTCCCGAATTGTGTGCTCTAGGGATTATTCGAGCTCTCTTGATGTGGAAACTCATGTGATCGTAACCCACAGCGTCCGCCAAAGTCAAGTGACGAATCGTACATATAATGTCACAGCGTGTCCAGCGAACTGATCCGCGCTCCTCGGATCAAATAGGAACTTGTCAACAACCATCTGTTGCCCTTCTCGTCATGTGATTTCACATAGACCCCAGACGATATCGCGAGCCATGTGAATATCTTTCCTATATTAGGCTACACGGACCCTATTGTTCGTCAATGGGAATCCGATCGATTTCACATTTGCCATAGTACGTCTAGGCCGCTATTGATTTACAACAAGATTACTACGGGAAGAAACTCGATACTGCCGCGACTTGAGGCGATATTTATGGAGGCTCCGTTTCAGTGGAGACCAAGTGAATGATCCGGCGGGAGACGGTACTCTCGGATCCGCAAGAGACGGAATTTCTTCTCCGTGAGGCACCGCGAGGAGATCGCGTATGATTCTGGCAGAGCTCGAGTCCATTTGGTGGAGAGAGGAACTCCTCCAAGTCTCGCTGAGCTCGACTGTCCATTTCGGGCAATTCTCTCCGAAGCTCACCTGTTCCAAACGTGGAGTTCACTTCTTGAGGAGTCATGGACGGGGAGAACTATACTCTGGAAGCGTAACGTTAAGTGTCCCGTAATCCTGATGTCAGCGTCACTATTCCGAAACTTCAACTGATCTCCAGTACGTTCAGAGGATGACAGTTTCTGCTCACCAATCCACACAACTGTCAAATCCGAATTCCACTCTTCCCAACTGTTTCACTACACTGAACGTCACTCCAACACCAGATACCTGTGGAGCGCTCTTTTTTCCCAAACGAGTCAGCCGGTGTGCGAGTTCGCGTGAGTGTTTGTGCGTTCGCATGAATACGGCGGAGGAGCGGACGCCCCTAACGTGTCTTCTCCCTCATCCGCTTTGGAACACTACTATATTTGAGAGTCCTTCGCCTCCTTCTCTCGTGGGACGTAAACAATTGCGGCGAATGAAAGCATTTTGAGAAAGAGTTCTGTAACTCTCGTCACAGCGCACGCGCGGGGCGCCAATTTTCGAAAGCGGGGGCATCGTAGTCCGACGCGCCTGTTCGCGGATGGAGTCCCGATTGTGGAGATGAGTCAAAATTCCGGCTGATGTTCGCTACACTGAAGAGTTTCGACTCTAGAGTGGAGACGCAGCCTTGACCAGGGCGCAGCTTCAGGCAAAATACTCTAGATTCCGCTGTTTTAGTGGTTGTGTGAAAATGCTCACGTAGAACGGGACACCCATCAGAGGGTTCGATTCAGTGGGTTCCTGAATGTTCCTACGATCTTGAGTTGCTCGTGAACTCGATCGCTTTTCTACGAAACTTATGGAATGGAGAGCCATTAACAGTACAATATATAATTTATTCCCTACGAATCGCAATATATATTTTGGGAGAGCCAGAGAGATTCGAGGTCGTTGCACTCGACGTCGCGAGTATTCGCCTCGTAGCTGCCAGCGTTGTTGTCTCCTCTGAGATGTTGGAGTGCACTCTCCCCGTGACAACATACACGCAATTTCATTTGGCACAGTTCTTGTAGTCGTTGTTGCTGCTTCCGATGTACCTCGCGTCTCGTGTCCCGAGAAACTCTGAATCGGAAAGCGAATCTGCGCCACGAGACAGCGAGAAACTTTAAAAAGTGCAAAACACTAGAGCTATACTATTGAGCATTTTTCACCGCGACCGCGTCCTCCCACATGGCCAATATCCGCGTCAGTCGCTGGAAACGCAGAGGCGCTCGGGAATCCCTCTCCGCGAAATATCATCGCGGACCTTTTGGTCAAGCCGGTCAACAAACTCAGTCAGTCGTTTCTCGCGCCTTTCGCCTCATCTGCCATCGCCTACGATTCGCCGAACATTTCAGTGCAGAGCTCGGAGTTCTTTGCCGTCAAGGGATAGCTCTTGCCTTCGATTCTGGAGCTGCGACGTCGCAGCGTTCTCACCAAATGTTGTTTGCCGTCAATAGCCTCGTATTTTCGCACGTGATGCCTCATGGTGAGGCCTGGGTTTCTCATCTGAATGCACATCTTGTACGGCTTCTCGTAGAACTCGAAGTCTGTGATGAAATCCAGGAAGGATTCCGCGCCCACGTTCACCTCAACGCGTGCCGCGGCCACATCAGAGAGGAGTCTCGCCGATCCCTGCACGAGCACCGCGCCTGCGGAGTGCACGATTGAATGGGAATTCCTGCGGAAATAGACATCACATTGAAATTCCGTCGCTAACTAGGGAAGGAGCCGCGCTCCTCATTGGAACGCTATACTTCTCGAACCGTTTCGGCTGAAACCGCCGATTGGATCGACATATCATCCACAGAAGGACTCCGGAATGAGCTCGCTGAGAGCTTTCCGCTTTCACTATGAGGTCGGCGAAATCACCTGTTCCACAGAGAAACCTGGACGCTGCCGCCGAGATCAGTAGAAACACAGCCTTTGAGTTGCAGCTGCACGATCAGACCGTTGAGTAGCGGAACTAGTTGCATGTGATCCATAAGGAGAAAGTTTCCCTGGAGAGCGGGTGTGTGATCTGATGCGGTGCCCGCGAACACGTGGCTCATCAGCTCACCGTTCCCCCGGAAGAACACATAAGGTCTCAGCTCGGTCCCGAGAATGCTCAGAACCATTCCCGCGGTGGCATCCTCTTCGTCGTCAACCTGAGAAATGTACGAATTTCCTGGATCTTATTTTGTTCATGACTTGACTCCTCAGCGATCTCTTAGAAGAGTCCAGGGTTTCGGTTTAGGCATTCCCAGCTCCGTCGAAGTTCGATGCAGACAGAACGAAATCGAGATTGCGGTGGTTTCCCTTGAACGACGAGGGAAATTCCGGGAAGCAAGCAGTTGCACGACCGGCAGACTCCGACTGATTAGCTGGGAGTATAATCAGTCGACTCAGGGACCAGCTCGGGAGATATACGCTGACAGCGAACCGTGAGAATGACTGACTGTGAGATATATATTATAGCAAGAAGGGAATAGGAAATTGCCAACGGACCTCATTACCGCTCGTGTCCCCGCCGGCGATCCCCGCCAGTCCAGCGGCGAAGATATTAACCGAAATCAGGGGCATGTCTTCAGTAGGCGAAGTTTGCACATTGATGTCGAAGTGAGTTTGTTTCAGCAGACCTCCAGGAATTAATTCCATGTTGAGCCCGTAGGTCACGTTGAGATCACGAGATCCTGGCAATGGGAATTTCGAAGGAGATTTCAGCGGCGCTCGGAGGTCATCAAGCGTCGGGAAGCGCCAAGTTGCCCTCAGAGAGCGTGGAGCTTATCTATGATTCCTCTCGAAACGAAATAGGTAGAAGGAATCACATAAACCCTTCGGAGAACTCGCGATCGGAGCAGCCGACGCGGCAATCATCCGATCGATCGATACCGAAATGTGTGATTCGAGAAGAGAATAGAGATCCCTTCTTCCGTTGTACGAAATGAGTGAGGCGAATTCAAAAGCTGCGCAATTAACTCACTCGCTAAGAGCCTCGTGAACGTGGAGGATAGGCCGCCGTGTGCCAGAGAATCGTAATTTGAAACGCTGTGATTGCTCAGAACCTTCCCGGCTTCACGCGACCGGCCCAATTCAATCAGCTCGACGAATTTGCTCGCGACGAAGGTTTGCAATTCGGGGCAGCCCAGACTCCGAATCGCACCAACAAGACGCTCGATTCGAGCTTTGTCTCCGCTCTGGAAAATCATTTCAGCTGCCAGTGCTCTCGCTGTCGATTCTTGTTTGGCTCGAGTCTGGAAACAGGAACGACATTACATCGGGAATCCACTTGTCCCGGACGAACGCGCGACATAGTGTGACCAATTTCCCACCTCGTACCGCTTCGTCGAGACAGAGACGAGAACCCACCTGGAAGTATACTCGCTCCAGACTGTTGAAAACATCCGGAGTGAAGTACAGAGAGCCTATTTCTTGCAAGGCCCGGAGGAGCGCTGGCGCGGTGAGTTTCGTGCTGCTTTTGAGATGAGTCAAGAGAACCGGAATGCTGGATGCTTGCGCCGCGTTTTTCAGCGCGCGTAGGAATACGAGTTTGCAATCATCGCTCGTGCATTGTCCCAGGCGAACCTCCAACCACTTGCGGGCTTCGTTAGCCTCCTTCATCTGAGCGTGGTTTCCGAGGGCGTGACGCAAAACCGAACCGAGAGACGCGATCAACGTTGCATAAGATTTCTGGTTTTTGAGATCTTTTTTCGCGATTTTGTGGAGCTCAGCAACGAACTCCGGTCCGGGGTGCGAAGCCATCGCTAGAGAGAGGAGGAACCGCTCGCTAAGGGTGGTGTCTTCGTTCTCCAGGCTGAGTATCCGTAGTGTTCCTCTGATAGCGGCCAAAGTCTGCGAAGCTCCAGCGATATCCAAGAGCTGAGGTCTGGATGGTGGGGAAAAATCGAATGAGAGGAATATGAAGAGTTTTCGGCCCCTTCGTTCTCGCTTCATTCGATGGGTCGCTCCGAAGATAGAAATCCAAGGTCGCTTACAGGATTCTCGCGTTTTTCGGATCCTTTAGCGATTCTGCCACATCGTTCTCCGAGGCTATGCGGAAACTTTCCAATAAGGTGACAAAAGCCATGGGGCTCTTCAATGACGCTAATTTATCGGTGGTCAGCTGGTCCCTGAATAACGAGATGCGGTCTTTAAGGGATCCTTTGAACTTCTTAGCGTGGTTGACTTCCGAGGGTCGGGCGATGATCGTGTCCTGCTTGTAGTTGGACAGAGACGACTCCAGAGCGCGGATCGCTTCGAGTTCATCGCCCCCGGCCCGGATGGAGATCGCAGCTCGGGACGAAGAGCTATCGCCAAGTTTGAGGCTATGCTGAGCCGTAACTTCGATAGACGCCTCCGGCCAGGCGTTGACCGACATTCGAACCGACTCCGATGCCTTCGCGCTTTGAACGGCGGAAGCGTCATGTGTCAGCTGATAATTTGTTTGAGAACTGGTCTTGACATTGACTGAGCGCACCTGGAAGGGCATATTGGTCGTGAGACGTTCGGAACCCCTGATGATCAGACTACCGTGAGCGTTTCTCGAAACGAGATCCGAGGGACCTCAGTGTTTCACTATGGCGAGGAGGTATCTGATCAATTAAAAAAATGGGACTGACCGGGTTCGGATGCTCGTACTGCTCGAGATCCGGATGATCGCAATCTTCTTTGATCTTCTTGACATGTGAGCCGTCAGCTTTCAGTGTCACTTTGCATTTCCCGCTTACATCGACCTGAGAATGTTTAATTTGCGACGACGTCTGGTACTGGAACATGCTGGCGATCCCTACGGAGAATCTGTCGATCAGTTCCAGAAGACCCTTTCCCATTCCGAAATTCCCCATGGTCTATGAGTCTCGTTCGGTACGTCGGAAAGCTCCCCGAATGAACATATCTTTCGCCGAACCTTTCTTGATGTTCAAGTATGTTGGGTCGTCGTTGCTGGCCACCCAAACGCGGACAATCTCATCGTCTTTGAAGAGCGCATACATCGGCCGGTGGGTTGCACCGTCCAGATCGGACGCATGTTGTTTGCGCTCCGTGCTGGACCTTCAAAAATCGGTGCAACGACATGAGTCGAGTGATTTAGACAGTCATCATAATAATATTTATTCTTCGCCAACCGAGCTCATAGAGTCAATGGGTAGGGAAAAAATAATTCTTGGGCTGCTTCTGATAGAATCATGGGATCTCACTTTTTCTCAGCCGGCGCAACCACCAAGTGTGCCTCTTCGAAGTCGATTTCGAGTATCCGATTCGAAACAGCTTGTGGATCTCTCCATAATGGTGTCAATTTCACCCTGCCCTCCAGGCCGTATCCAACTTGTCGTCCTGTCTTCTGGTTCACGTGATCGGAGCCGTCGTTCAGGAAGACGTCCGTTTTCAGGAAGTAAACATAAGTTTGTCCGACCTCGTACTGTCGGCTCACAGCTGTGAATCGAGTAAGTCATTCGAGTCCTTGATGTGAGCACATCCAAAAACTTCCCCTCAGCAGACGAGCGCGACAAAATTATTCTAGCGATCGAGACCATAAAATTCAGGCCTGATCTCTGCTGCGCTAAATTGTTTTCCGATGCCGTCGCTGTCACCCTTTTCTCCGATCGCCCTTCGTCCCGACTTCGGAAACTCTCGTCGTTACAAAGTGACGGAACTCTTCGAATCAGCATATTATTCTCTCGAGCCGGCTCGATATCGATGAGCGCGCTCGGAGGACTAGGAAACATTCCGCGAAAATGAGTTAGTCTGTCTATGTCTCCACTACAGGGAGAGCAAGAAAGTAACCAGGTACTATCATATCGATTCGTTCGCCCTGAGAGCCCACAACACCACGCGAGATAAAGCCCATGCGGACGTTCGACGTGTTCCGCCGCGGAATCTGACACCGCTGCTGTGGGCATGGCCGATGCCCTAATCTAATGAGTCGAATTTCAATATATATGCGCGTCAAAATCTGTCGGGAGTTGAAGCAGAGCTTGCTTGGCCGCCCAGCGTTGATATAGAATTCGAAAAGAGCCGGCTTTCGGAAAATGTCGGATAAGGAAAATCTATGGGTATTCGGGTAAGCGATAGAAGAGGGAAGTGAAACTCCTCGAATCGACGGCATATTACGGCGGCGCCGCCCGCAGCCGCATACCACTCGAATATTGACTTTCATTCACGTTTTTCGATAGCACGAAAACGTCCGAAAAAAGCTCGCGTCATGGATTGGAGGTCTCCTGAGTGCGCAATTCGATCGCACGCATATTTGTCCCTACTTTTCCATCGGCTGGATCCGAATCTTCGATATGAGAATTCTCGTAAATCCTCAGGCATTCCCGCCTTGGGCTCTCGGATCGTATTGAGAATTCTTCCACAAGCGTGAGCATTGGAGCCGATGCTACTCGTAAAAGATACAGAGGAGCAAGATCGAACGTATTCCGTCGTGATAGTGGTTGAGAGCCTCCGCTCGCGTGCTAAAGTCAGTCAGAAAGAAAGTTCACTCACATATATTGAGCAGCAAACACAGCACCGTGAATATCCGAGATCCCATGATCGAGTCCTCGGCGTTTCTCAGGGAGACGACTTCATACGACTGAAATAAATTAAGAAGAAAACCCTTATCGGAAGGTCAGCAAAGCGGCTCAGAATAAATCGAAAACAGGTTCCAGAGGACATCGAGATCGGCACCGGTGTGATTCGCTTCTCTGCGCCGAGTACTCTGTATGAGGAAAGTCTGCGATCACACGCAGATTTCCAAGCGAAGGGGACGAATATTGCGGAATTTGCCATGCGATTGGGGCTTAGATCTGGCCCTTCGGTAACTCTACATATATTGTCTACCACATGTCTTATTAGATGCGCTATACTTCGAACTTTCCTAGCATTCTCGCATTCATTGTCAGGTGGCTTTCGAGTCTGCGAATCGACGGCTAACAGAGCGGCATCCGAAACGGGAGAGCTGAATAAAAACCGCATGTTTTACCTTCAAACAGCGCCCTGACTGCTGACGTACGACGGTGGAAGAGAAACACGCGCAAATCAGATGACGAGGAAAGGTTTCGCTCACGACGTCAAGAGGGTCCGATCGGAAGAGAGCTAGCGGGTTAAAACGTTGGGATGGAAGAATCGATACTCGACCGGCGGTCTCCGGGCAAAGAAATCACATGACACCGACGAATAAAGCTCTCAGCTGACATAGGCGATTCTTCTGCCGGCGTTCAACTAACCTCAGAGACCGTGGCTGTGTGGAAAGTTTCGGATGCCGGGAGCTCAGATAAACTCGCAACCTGAGACCTTGCTCCGTCCGAGGACTCCGAGCGAGAACGGGTCTTCTGGCGCTAAGTGACTAGGTGAGTCGTAACTCTGCTCGAAGAGCGACCGATCGAACGGACACGATCAACCGGATTGCGTCACCGGCTGAGAGAACCCAGCCCGGCTGCCGACAGGGGGAGCTGCCGACGTCGCTTGAAGACGTCGTCGACCGAGCAAACGAACGGACGGACCGATGGACCGACTTGCTGACGACTGAACGGCTTGGTTGCTGGCTGCCGCTCTTACATACACCACAACCATCGGTAGATATACACAGCGAGAGACGCGGAGCGTTCCCCGATAGAGATGCCATGGGAGACTGATGTGTGTTCTCTGGCTGACGTGGAGCAACGGTAAATCGTGAGAGAAGATCGCGCGACTCATCTCTGCGCGGTCATGGGATCTGTTCGTCCCGCCGACTGACACGTCGCCAGCGCCGACTATTCCGTGCAGCTAATTCTTGTCCTCGGTTCCGACAGAGGCTTCGATTGATTCCGTCTGATAATGATGCTGAACTAGGATGGTAACGGAAAGTCTCTCGGTTCTCGGAGTCAGCTGGCTGAGCCGGGAGTATGCGCTGAGTTCCCCGAGTGAGTAGAGGTCGGAAATAAATCCGGAGAGCGCTGTCGTAGGCCGGATGAAAGCGGCTTTCCACGGAGGTCTGATCGGTGATCACAAGAGTATTCATCGGTAACTTGACATGAACAGCCATGGGAAGAGGAGAGTCGTGAATGTTCGCTCGATATGCGAATCAATCTCATCGGTTCGTGGTATGAGAATTCGAGATTGCGTTCAACACACTCAGGAGCTCTTTGAATCGATGGGCGTGCATTTTCGAATGCTCCTCGGTTTCGGGGAGGAGCCGTCGATCGCGAACATGGATCTCATCGTGGAGAGCGTTCCTTGCAGAGCCGTATTCGAACAAACATTCTCGAAGAAAGAATTCTGTGCCCTCCCAGTCTCAAGAGAGCCATCGCTCCTCATTGCCATTGATCTTACCGTACTCTCTCTAATAGTCGGGCCTGCCCGCCTATTTTTCAAGTTCCCGAAACCTGCCCGTATAATGGAGAGTGCCCGTATATTATAGAGTGCCCCTGCATATTTTCCACTGGAGCCATGAGTCTTTGAGTGGAAGGTACAGTAAAAGCTCGTTTCTACGAACACGGAGGGACCGACGAAACTGGTTCGTTGTACCGAGTTTTCGCTGTAACGAATGCCGCTCAACACTATCCCTATGGCGAGCTGGCCAAAGGAGGAGAAATTCCTTGTTCGTTGTACCGAGAAATTCGTTGTAATGGGGGTCGTTATAACGAGCTTTTACTGTATCTCCAAACTTTCACGCGAGATCGATCCCGCTCCGTACTCACACAGCTGACCATTCGAACGTGTCCATACGCGAGAAGTTATCCACAAGACGTGGAACGTCGCTGCATCATGACGAGTGTCCACCGACCGAGAATACTCCTCTATTTTCCAAGTTCCCCGGACCTGCCCTTATAATAGAGAGTACCCTCATAATGGAGAGTGCCCGTATATTTTTCAAGTTTTCCGACCCTGCCCTTATTATAGAGAGTGCCCGATTATTTGAGAGTGCCCGACTATTAGAGAGAATTCGGTATCTTTGTGGGAGACAAAAATTTCTCCACAATATGATTCCGGCAGAGTTCTGTGTTTGGAGATGCAGGATCGTGAGGGCGAGCTGACTCCATGTGACGAGTGAAGGCTCGCTAGCTCTCCGGTTCATCTCTGCTGCTTGTGAATTGGACGATCCGCCGGACTCCTACTCAAGTAGCGCCATGAAGCAGACAGCTCCGGAGAACCAACCTACGACGGCTTGCGGATTCATGACTTCTGAGATTCATCTTATGGTATGGTCTCTCGAATATGCAACTCCCTAATGATGGAGCTCCCCTCCATCCGCGACGCGGGCAATCCTATCAATTGATGAAAAGAGATGCCCTGCAGATGGTAAGGGTCGTTCGGCTAGACCTGTACCTTCTGGATTTCGATCCGAGAGTGATCACTGATCAGAGAATAAACAGAGTCAAGAAGAAAGCAATTTCGAGGAGCTGCACCGCGATCTGTATTCCATACTTTCTGCTACCCACAGCTCCGACGATGCTCAGGAGAACTTGGGACCTTTGTTGGATATCATCCACTGTTCCTCACCCCTTTTCCTGTGGGGCAACTGCATTGTCCGCGGCCGGAATCGAGATCCGTCCGACAGTTATTCACTCCTCACAGGTCAATGATACGAGCGAAGTTCAATCGTTCTGATTCCTGCCTCAAGACTATCCGCTTGGCTAGTCTCTCGTTGGGACTCTCGTATTAATATATGTATAATAACATGTATTTGAAGAGTGGACGGAATTGACTACCTCTCAAGAATATGGAGCGAGATCGTGACGAGGGCGTCGAGATCGATCAGATGCTCCGACTGGCTCTGACCAAGAGCTCCTTGTGGCGGGGATTCTTGGTTTTACACTCGTTCTCAAAACTCGCCTCAATGGCGCGCAGAACTCCATCGTACCTGAAAGATGGAGCCCATCGACTAGGTCCAGAAATGAAACATATGCTCCAAGAGATTTAGACTGTCCGGATGAGCACTGATTTGCTCGACTCCCTCGGCACTTGAGGTTCGATTTACCGTCGTTTGTTTTGAGCCATGATGGTCCTGAATGCTTTGAAGTGGAGGTAAGCGATGCTACGTTTCGGTAATTTTAGCGATTCTGGCGAGTTTTTGAACACTGCGGTTTTCACGTATCGCGTGAAAACGAGCCGATGCAATCGGATGAAACGCTCCAGATTGCTAATTGCGATATGAGTATCGTCAACGTAACTCTGAAGCGAGACGAACAATCCGTCATTGGTAAATCTTTTCCTACCCGCTCGAGAAAAGTTCATTGGATCATTTACTCATGAATAATTATCACATGAGTTGTGAAATGGCATACCCTGAAACGCATGGCACTGTCGATCGCGGCTTCATAAACGTTCCTCAGGATGAGGGGCAAGTTTCGCCCATCATAGGAAAACAGGCCCCCGGAAAATCCCCAGTAGGACGACGTCAGGAGGTACTTGAACGCTCTCTGCATCGGCAGGCCATGGAGGTCCTTCCGATAAGTTCTGCAAGCGTCAAAATGAAGGTTCCAATCATATTTGCCGAATCGTCGTTCGGTTTCGCGGTTCATTGTCTCCGACTCCGAAGGTTTCGCTCTTCGACCCCCACCTCACGTTGTCGACGAATGTCTTGTACTCTGGAGAGAACTTGAAGCAACCAGAAATCGGATCCACCTCTTCACCGCAGTACGTGATTGACCATGGGAGGGTCTTATCGCTATCGTCAACACCGACAGACCAATTTGTGGAATACTTGCTCTCCGAAAAGGTCAAGCCTCGATGCAAAGATTCATTCTTGCTGAAAGTCGAGGAGATGAGCTGTCATAGACAGACGCGTGCCCAGGACTTTTTTTTGGGCCATTGTCTTGGTAGGGCCTAAATACCGATGATGATGAGCCTCAACATGGGACTCTATGAGCCAGAAAGAGATCTTGAGGGGGGCTATGGCCCCTTGCTTCCCGCCCCTGGGCACGCCACTGGTTATAGACCGCGTGTCTTCCAAGGAATGTCTCGGATTTTATCTCGCCGAGAGGGGGATTCTGCGGAATTTAGAGCCCCGCTCGTTCCGGGCTGATTTAGGGCGAGATCGCTTCCCGCGAACTCACAAGATTTGAAGACATCTCTGAGCTGTATCGAGCGACGTCGAGACAGCCAAATAATCGTCCATAGTTCTGAAGACTGCAAGATCGTCCCGGAACCGCTCGAAGAGCTGATCGACGTGGATTGCCAGATAGAGGTCAGCGATCATCGAAGATAGAATTGCGCCTTGCGGAATTCCCTTATGGAACCTGCGAAAACGAATTCAGATTACGTTTCAGCTTATGCAGCGCGAACCATGTAGAATTGCGCAATGTTAGCCCCGTGGGACCTTCATGTGATCCATCCGCGGGCCATGAAGTCCGTTCCTGGACGGAGCACCTGAAAGAGGTCCCGTCGATTTTCACTACAATGTTCTCCATCCATTTCAACAAGATCCCGAGCTCCTTTCGCGGTTCCCAGCATGACTGATTCCCGGTCGGGATCAGAACGCTCAATCGACCATCGCAGAGAGGTCGTCTAAAAATCCGGTCTTCGAAAAGATGGAGGAACCTTTTTTTCCGAGACCCTGGACGGATCGGTAGGTCGAGCTCCAGGAACTCCAACGCTGTGGAACAAGGACGCTAATGTGGGAATATTCCCCCATCCAGAAGAAAATTGTTCCCGCACTCAGGGGTCTCGATGAGGCTTTCCCCACCTTTCGTGGCGGTCGGCCAGTTTCCTGAGAGCCAATCCTTCAAGCCATCAAGGTCGATGCTCCCGTAACAGTCTCGCACGTCGCCCTTCACGAAAAACAAGCGCCCCTGCTCACGGAGCTTAGCCAGTCGCTGTAAAGCGAGCGCCGAGCTCATCGCGCAAATCGGGACCCGTCTGGAAGCCGGGAAGATATATAGTAATTGCTCGGAATATAGACCTACTCCTGCTCGGGAGGATGAGTGGCGGTGATCTACTCACAGCCTCGATTGACAGTCCGACTTCAGGCACTGGATACAGGATTTTAGCGCGAGAGACAATTTGGGCTTCCTTGATAGGTATTTGTGGACCGGGCGGTATTCAAACGGGGACGATTTCGGTAGAGCAAGCATCGTTCCCTGAGCGGCAGAGGTACTGGGTTCCAAGTTCTCTCTAATCAGGTTTCCAAGACACGTCCGGCGTTTCGCAGACACTTCTTCTTCCAAAGCGTATTCGGGGATTTTTGGAGAGGAACACCGCGAACCGACCTCAAAAACTGCGTGTATATTGAGAACTGCAAGTTTCGCCAAGAATGCACAGAGACAGCGTAGGAAAAGTTCAGCATTTGGCAAGCCGAGTTTCCTCATCCATCGTGTTGTGTCGACCCTCCGCAGCTTCGATTCCAGCAAGTCGATTGATCCATAGTCGATTCTATGCCGCATGTAGTCGCAAAGGAAAGCTTTCAGTCGACTCCGGGTGGCATCGAAAAGCAGGTTCTTCAAGATGCACTTATCGATCAGGATGGCGGACAGGTTGGCGACTATGAGCGAGGTAACACCGTGGGAACATTCTAAAAACAGACATGACAGCATCGAAGAGTTCTTCTTCGAATTCAGAAAATTTTCGAGGGTCCGCCGAAAGGGATGACCCTTTTCGAGGATCGTCTTGAAGACCTCCTGTTTCCTATCCACAGTTGTCGTCGCAGCCCATCGATCAAACACATCTTCGAGAACCATCTCGTCACCGCAAGCCAAGCGGTCACGAAGTTCTCGCAGATCTCCTGAGGCGACTTTCGGGGATAATTTCTTCCGATGGGCAACAACTCGTTTCCGGTCGTATTCCAAGGCGAGAGCTTCCGTATGATTTTCTCGAAAGTTTTCTTTTCGCAAGCCCGTGTGAATCCATCCGAAGGTGGATTTCCGGGCATGGAGGGGAGGGCCGCTGACTTGGACGAAATACGTGACTTGGCGATCGGCTACGAGGACCGTATCAAGAAGAGCTTTCTCCCACGCTCCACTTAGCGAGTATTTCTCCAACAAACTACGCAGCTTGCCCTTGAATATGTTTGCATCCAGGTGACGTAAGGCGGTATCGTTGCGAGAAACTGCGCCGTGCGCCGCCTCGAACTTCACGACCAGCGTCGCGGCCAACAGGTGCTTCAAACTCGTAGGGAGTTGAGCCTCGTCAAAGATGTCTGTGGAAACCTCGTCGCGAAGCAACCGGACCTGTCGGAGAATTCTTGTCAGACGTGTCGGTATCGACTCCTTTCTTGCGAACGGACGATATTTCGCTTCCCCCTTAGAGGTATCTTCAGGGGAGCCTCCCTATTTGCTACGAGAATTTCTCCTCATGCTACTCATGAAGAAGGGCTGAATCGGTCGTCAGGTCCAGAATCGGAACCCGGCGGTGACTCCCTGATCGATCGTCGCGATCGACGTGGAAAAGACTCCCGAACCTATTGGAAACGTGTGATATGGGTTTCGATTATTTATCGATTGTTTTCATCGTCCAAGAAATTGTGGGAGTCCGTTTGAGACGGTCCCATCAAGAATACACCCACCTCCGACTTCGTGGACTTTTGAAGGAATTTCCTGAAGCATTCCATTGCTGAGTCGAGGTTTCGAGAATTCAACGCAAATCGGAACAAGCCACCGGGGCCAAATCTAACACCGCAGACTAGCGCCGGGTCTTCGTGTTGTGAACAAGAGACGACGGAATCTCGCGCAACGCGAGAGAGGACCTCGGGTTGTTGAGGCACGTGTGGAAGCGGCATCGCAAGTCGCCAAGAGAGGAGGGGTTTCGAGGAGCGAATGTACCGGATCTCAGAAGCGGAGGATTCTCGCCTTGCGGACGGATTTCGAGCCTCGGAGTCTCGCGGAATTCGGGAATAAGCGGTCATCGATTTTCAACTTGGATTGCGTTTCCTTGCCGGGGCTGATATTTGCGACAAGGAAAGGGATGGAATGAACGTGTACGGATGTGTCAAGCTGATACGGTCTCAATCCGGTGGAATCGATCGAGCGCGTGGATTGAGCTCGAATATTCGACACGAGCTGCGCTCAAAAAGCTACGCCGGACCCTCCTCCTTCTTCACTTTGGGATCCTGATTACTGCTCCCGGTCAGATGTACAATGTCGAAACATTGAGGAGGAAAGAGGATGAGGACGATGGGGCAAGGCTCGCGACGCGATGGACCTCCGACGAGGATTGCGCCGAAAAAGAATCCGTAGAGCCATGAAGGTCGGAGAAATTTTCCATCTCTACTTCTATTGATCTTCGAGCCCAAGTGTCGAGCTGAGACGTGAGACTCGCGGCGCAGAGACGAACGGGAGAGCCTCCTTCCTTCCGCTCTGCGCTTCGACGGAAATGAGAAAAACATCGTGACATAATATCTTGTATGCATCCAGATGTAATTTATTAATATTGATGGAGAACAATCCCGCGCGAGACATTTAGATAACCATCAGACACCCCTAGCGGCAAAGCAGAGGTGCGCATGAAAACGGGAGCGTTCTCAGAACCTATAGTCTAACTTTGGGCGAAGATTTCGCTAGTATTCCGCCACTGAAGGTTCCGGGCCTCGTGTGCATCGAAATCAAAACCTCCGGTCTCTTCAGCGAAAAATGTGTGATAGCGCTCTTGCTGATCCGTGTGCAATCAAAGGTCAGGCGACGGAGCTTGAGAGCTGTTCTCTCGAGGGTGCTGAGGATGCCCTCCGAGAGTGAAGCGCCTGAGCTCAGCGCAAGCTCACGAAGGAATTCCTCATGCTCGACGAAATAGCGCACTCCACCGTCGCTCACTCTTTCACAAGAATAGAGACTGAGCCTGGTCAACTAGGTGTGCAGGATGGCTATACTCGCAAGTCCCGTATCGCTCAGAGGGCTGTCCCAGATCAAGAGCTCCTCTAAGGCCGGACAAGCAAGTCCATAGTGGGATGTTACGTCCGTGATTCGAGTCGCGCCGACGAGCTCAAGTTTTCGCAGGTTTTCCAGGGAGCGCAACTTGAGCGTATCCCCATCAGTGAGCTGATCGCAGCTCAGCGTGAACTCTTCCAACCGACTCAAACTCTGGACCAGAATTGCAAAACCCTTGGGTGTAGGACTCTCTGCCAGAGTCAAGCATCGGGGCTCGAAACGAACGTCCAAACTTTGCAGCTCGCCCTCTCAAGATGCTTGTCATCGACGTGATCGGCACGGCTCCAGTGCAGGGTCAGATGGCGCAGCTTCTTGCACGTACTGTCAGCGTCGACCGTATCGCATGTGAGGTACATCTCGCCGGACCACTAAGAGAGACGACTCCGAGATCCGCCGATGATACTCGACAAAGTGCCACGGCCAAGGGACGACGTACTTGGAAACTCAAAGAAAAATATAAATGTACGGCACGGGAAAGTAGAAAACCAAATGGAAACGGGAACGATGATGCAGGAAGGATGACAGAAAGGAAAAATAAAAAGTAGACTCACCTCAATATCCGTGGCAAAGCAGGGAGAGCTTTGGGGCCGGGCATCCGCTGGAACCTTTCCGCACACCGGACCTCCGGAGGCGCCCGGGTGTACAGCGGGCGCTCACAGAAGGTGAGCTCCCCCCACGCGACCAAACAGATCGCGCGGAGGTCAGCTCCACCGTACAGGTCCAGCATCGAATCCGACTCGGCCAAGTCCCGCTGAAACAGTCCGAAAGGGGAGGTTTCCGGACTGCCATATCGCCGAGAGGACCAGGGCTTCGGAGGCTTCGGGGGGGAACTCGCATTGTAAGAGGAACACGTCCGCATCAAGTCAGAGCAGAACGAATAGAGACAATCGGTCGTTAGAAACGAAAATATCACGGCCGAGATTCCAGAGAGGGAAAACAATGTGGGACGCGCGAAAGACGGTCGGCGCCGAGGTTTCTGATGTCGAGTGTCTCATATTCAAGGTCTCGCCAGCGCGGCTGAAATTCGAGGAAGCTAGCCAAGGATTTCCTTCCGGAATTCGGGGGGGGAGTGTCACGAAGGGGCTCTTCGGAAGCTCCGCTGCGGTGATTGCGTCACATGCACACCACAAAAGCACATGCGCAAATACGCACAACACCCTCGCAACAGAGCCAGGGCTGGCATGGTCCCCGGTCGCAGGAGCCCGGCTCTCTTTCTCCCAACCTATTATAACTACAACCATACCATTATGAGTGTAGATAATTTATTGGAGGAATATCATATTGTATAATGAACACTCCACGTGGCGATCTGCGCTGACAGCATGGGGCTTCGCCCGTCAGAGAGCATAGACAGATTACTGATGGGGAAAAGCCATCCGCATCGGTAATCGGTCATAACCATCATCAGAGTCGGCAGTTCAAAAGATCATCTCTAATTAGTCAATTCAAGTGGACAAACGTGTGCGAAAATCGTGGACCCACCCGAAAGCGCTGACCGCAGTCGCGATAAGTTTATTTATCGGACTCGGTTCAGTTTTAACGTATGATGAAGCCAGTTGCGGTCCTCAGACCCCTCTGACTCTGACCGGTCTTCGACTAGTTCCCGCGGCAAATAATCCCGAATCAGTGCATATCACCCGATCTCGGAGCTAAGCATTCATTTCATCGTGTACTCTCTTAGTGGTCCGGCGAGGAGTACCTCACACTAGCTTCAGTTCCTTCGCCGCTCTGACGAAGCAAGCTCCATTGTCGCTGAGTAAGAATCGAACGGAGGGGAATCTGTGTACGAATTCCTGAAGGGCGCCGAGCACTTCTGCTGTAGACAAATCTGTCGTGAGTTCCTGGTCGACAGCTCTAGATGCGGCGCAAGACAAGATCAATATATATGATTTTCCGACTTCGCTCATATAGCGACTCTGCCGATGAACTTTTCTTGTTGGCACGGAACGATCGGATCGCTTGAGGTATGGCGGGGTTGTTATCGGTGCCTCACTCTATCTCTAGTTAAGCAAGCCCTGACATACTTTTTTGGAGCGATTGTCCAGTTTCAGGGGTTCGAAGCGACATATGAGGGGAGCGGACTCCATCAAGCGACGAAATTCAGACCGAGCTCCGGGCTCGGCGAGGCGGCGACCAATGACGCTCACTAGAAGAGCTGGATCCTCCCTGTCTCTAGATAAGCAAGCTCTCTCCTTGGCGCGAACCTTCATTACGTCGCCCTACAAAGCAGTAAAATTATTTGAAGAAAAAAATACACGTTTCCAATCAATGCAATCAATTTTCGACAGTGCCTGCTCCGAGCTCAGCAGGCCGGACACGTCGTATAGGAACCCCGACTCCTTACCCGGGTCCAGCCTGGCGAGTTGGGCCAGGAATACGGAATGCTCAGCGACTGCTTTAGACTTTAGACAGTGCTACTCAAGGAGGTGACTTTCCCTTACTCCATGATCCGATAGAAATGAGAGGAGCATAGTTGAAGTTCTGTATGCAATATCATGTGAGGAAGCGTAGCAGTAGTTTCAGTCAATTTAGTTTATTGATTTAAATAGGGGACAATCCCGCGCGAAACATTTAGATAACCATCAGACACTCCTAGCGACAAAGCAGAGGTGCGCATGGAGAAGGGAGCGTTCTCAGAACCTATAGTCTCACTTTGGGCGAAGATTTCGTTAGTATTCCGCCGCTGAAGGTTCCGGGCCACGTGTGCATAGAAATCAAAATCTCCGGTCTCTTCAGCGAAAACTGTGCGATAGCGCTCTTGCTGATCCGTGCGCAGTCCAAAGTCAGGCGACGTAGCTTGAGAGCTGTTTTCTCGAGGGTGCTGAGGATGCCCTCCGAGAGTGAAGAACCAGAGCTCAGCGCAAGCTCACGAAGGGATTCCTCATGCTCGACGAAATAGCGCACTCCACCGTCGCTCACTCTTTCACAAGAATAGAGACTGAGCCTGGTCAACTGGGTGTGCAGGATGGCTATACTCGCAAGTCCCGTATCGCTCAGAGGGCTGTCCCAGATCAAGAGCTCCTCCAAGGCCGGACAAGCAAGTCCATAATGGAATGTCACGTCCGTGATTTGAGTCGCGCCGACGAGCTCAAGTTTTCGCAGGTTTTTTAGGGAGCGCAACTTGAGCGCATCCCCATCAGTGAGCTGATCACAGCTGAGCGTGAACTCTTCCAGCCGACTCAAACTCTGGACCAGAATTGCAAAACCCTTGGGTGTAGGACTCTCACCCAGAGTCAAGCTTCGGAGCTCGCGCAAAGCGGCGACGCCGTTGTAGCTGGCGATCGTGTCCGGAATCGATGATAGGTTTAGAGACCTCAGACTGGGAAGTCTCCCTAGGATTCCGAGCCATTCAGAGCCCACTTGGCCGACGATGCTCAAATGTCGCAGATACCTGGCGCGATCGATGGACTCGAGGAACTTCGGTTTCAGGGAACGGGAGGAAAAGTACGTCCCGAAACGAACGTCCAAACTTCGCAGCTCACCACAGTCGCTCAAGACCCTCTCAAGATGCATGTCATCGATTCGATCGGCACTGCTCCAGTGCAGGGTCAGATGGCGCAGCTCCTTGCACCTCCTGACAGCGTCGACCGTATCGTACGTGAGCCCATCGGCACGGGGCACGCGCAGCTCTTGGAGACTCCCCGAGAACTTGTTCAGAAGGGCCATCATAGCTCTATCGTCGACATCAGTC